TTTCATTGAATAGCATGGAATTAAACCTTCAGAGTATATGTTTTGTAACTGGTACCAAGAGTTGACACATGTGTCACTCGTCTTGAAATGCAATAATCAGCTGTATCCAAATAATGTCTAATATAAATATAACCTAGAATGTGTACTCGTGAAAAAAGAAAAATATGGCAAATTTGTAGTTTTTTGTGCAGGTTTTAGGTTTGCTGGTAGCTTTAAGGCATACATTTGGGAATTCCTTAATCGCTGTGAATATAGTGTGGATGTTTGTTCAGTTCCTGAACAACGAAAAATATTCAACTTTATGGATGTATGGATATCAAAAAACCTGAATGTTTTTGTGGGAATATCAATCTAAGGTGCCATGATGGTTCTGATGAACGGCAAGTATATGAATGAATGTTTGGAAACGAGCAATATCTTTTGGTAGAGCCTGTCATCAAGTAGGTGCTTAATGGCTATCTGCAAGAGGTTTATAGAAAAAAACACCCAGTGTCGCATATCACTTGAAGAAAATAATATTAACATAAATAAAAAATCAACAGTAGTAATTAAAACATGAATTTTATTCAAAAATCCGATATTTCTTTAAATTTTGACTGAATTATATGTAATTTCTTAATATACAATGAGCTGGTGATGTTTCAATGATAAGCTGTCATCTCATACTTTGACAGTATTTTGTTTTCAACATTTCATAGCTATTGGTTGCTAAAATTTGTTGATTGGCACTTGAAGCTCATTCGTTGTATTTGACAGTCTGTTACCCTATAGGTGGAGAATAACGGACTGTTGTTGGTGAAATTGGCCCTTAGTGAAGTTTAGTTATATTATTTTCATCCACAAAGTAATGCTTACATCTGAACCTTTATACCTTAGAGAAAAGTTAATTCCTATTCCCCACCACAATTCATCTGCATTCCAGCGCAGGTTCACATACAATGCTGCTAGTATTTATAACGACATTGATGCTAACTCTAAAGTGATGTCCTTAAACCAATTTGGGAAATGTATGAATCGCTTATCATCAATGAGTCACAGTGGAACAAAATATGTATAATCATTGCTTAATACTGATGTCATGTGCATATTTCCTTCATTTTCTTGTTTTAGGTGTGTAACAATTCATAATTTGAACTATGCTTTACCTTGGTTTGTGTCATATAAGTTACCGTGGATTTTATATATATTCTTTTATTTTGTCCTTCTCATGCGATCGTATATTTATTATTATTATTATTTAGGCAATCGATATCTATTATGCAACATTTTAATTCAACGATGAATTTAATTTCATTGCCAGGTTTTTTTATAACCTCGAAAAAGGTAAGGAGCTAATTTAGGAATTTATTCATCTTAAAATAACTTTGGAGGTCATGAACAAGCTCAATGACGTACAAATGTCATAAGACGAGATGAACGAATATTTTCTCACAAATACGAATGTCAACAGGCATTCAAAGTTCAATTTCAAACTTCTAGTTTTACTATTGATGTAAATTAAATTGCAATTCTTAAAAAATACCTTTTCATCATATACAGGCTAGCGCATCGAAAACGAAACAGACGCATTTACTGGCAGCTCAGTTTTTTTTTGGAAAAACGCTCAGATCCGTCGATTTTGTTTTCGAGGGGGACACAAGTCTGGCAAAAAATCACGTTAGTACGTGCAGCCCCCTAAGCGGGGATGACACGAACCCTAAAATGTTAAATGGAAGGGGGGTCGAGTGATACCTTATTTTAAAGGTTTTTCAATTCCCTTTATAATTATGTAAAATACATGAGCCTCAGTTCAGTAGTTTTGAAGATTTATTGATTTAAAGGTTAAAGTAGACTTTAATAGGTACATAAGATTAGCTTGTACTACTTTTAGAAGAAATTTGACTAAAAGAGTTTACTTAATAAGTAAATGCTTTTCTTCACTACGCCCATGGTTTGTTTATAATTTTGTTGTTGAAAATAGCAATTTTTATCAGTGCCCCTAGAGACTGCTTGCAAGACTCTGTGAAGAATCCTCTAGGTATACATTTATATAACTATTAATTTGAAAATGTGAAAAACTACGTTCGTCCAGTCGTTTTAAAATTCCAATCAAAAAATTCCTGATAAAAAATGGATTTTATTCCAAGAGGAGATTACACCGCTGTGTAAATTTATATAGCTCAGCTTTTTGTTTTGTTTGTTTTATGTGTGCACCTTCATCTGCTACAAAATGATTTATCTTGTAATATTATACTGAAACACATACTTTTACAAGTCTTAGGTCCATTGATAAATAGAAAGTGATAAAAGTTTTAACTCGAAGTTTCGGAACATAGCTGAGATATCCCACCTAAATGTTAATAATGTTCGCTACACATTGTTTAAGTCGTCGCGGCACTTCTTGGACAAGGTGATTGGTATCTTCTTGGCCATCTGAAATTGGTTTCGTAGAGGTTCCAATGTTTGTGGAGGATGCGGTGAATTTGGAAAACTTCTTCCCATCGCGCTCCTAAAATGTGTAAACTAACACGTGCGACATTAGGTCGTGCATTGCTCTGCTGAAAAAGTGGATTTTGCAATGTTTCCGAAAAGGGAAGCAGATGCGGTTGTAAAACTCCGTGGATATAGCGCTGGGCAATAATGTTACCTCGAATGAGCACCCCAACTAACAATTATCACTCATATTAGAGTTGCAAGAATGATTATACAGTATTCCTTAAACAGCATTGTATACTGTAAGAACATTGGCAAAATCCTCTTAGAACAGCTATACAAGCGGAATGGGTACACCTAATAGGACACTTCAGTCATTTAAGAGGTTGTATAAGGGCTGCAGGTAATAGTTATAAAACAAAAGTGTAAGCCTCTTGCAGCCGCTATAGGACATTTGCGTCAGTGCAAGATTCAGTTTTTGTCAACTATACAACTATTCTGTTACGTGATTTTACTTTATTGCAACCAAACTATTTCTTATGTATTGTACAGACGATGTGAAGAATATATAACTAATACATTACAGTAATCTTGTTTACTTACACATCGGCCATTGTGAATTTCATACACAGGTATATGATAACTTCTACACTGTGATATAGGGCTATTGAATTACTTGCGCAGCAAATTTTATTGTGATTATCGTGCAAATTAGTTACCCAATTTCTACGGGCTTCGTATTTGATTCATATTTTGACAATGACCAAAAGTATGTCTAGATTTTTAAGATGGAAAACTGAACTTATCCGCGTTAAATCCTCCACAAATCCTATATTTAGACACAATTATACTAATTTTTATCACTTTATATCTGTAATTTAGAACTGAAACATAATTATTTAATATTAAACAGAGGAATAAATCTTTGCCCGATATGGCGGGTGGTTGCGTCTGTCGTGTGACAGCAGAACCTAGTAAGTCGACTTACTAGGTTTTACATTTTTACGTCATTTTTGAAAAGCCCGTAAAAAGTTCTACTAGTTGAATTTTTTTCTCTCGCTCAGACGCACTCTAAATCGTATATCTTTGTCTCATGTTTCCTAGTAAGTCATCAGAACAGCATTTAAAAAATCAACAAATGATGGCATGTCTACATGCTACGTTTTGAAGATTTTTTTTTGTAGGAAATTTGGCGGGAGACTCCGTCGTAAACGCACTTGCTAGTTTTTGCTAAATTTTCATGCCATGATTTCAAGCCGATTGAGTGTAGGCACGGATGCATGCTACAGCGTTTCCGCAGTCATGTTCCAACTTGCATAGAGTGTGGATCGGTGAGGACAGTCGCGAATTAGTTTAACGTTAGTACTGTAGTTAATATCCAGAATATGTCGAGAGGAAAATTCATAACGAGTTTATGCATTACAGAGAGGTGAGTGCAAGCATCATACATTACATATAAGCCAAATGAAATAATAACTCAGGAGTAACATTGCAGTTTGATGTTTTTTTTTCAGTAAAATAAAAGATTATAATTACTACAAACAAAAAGCTAATTCTTGCAATACGGTTTTCGTATTTGAAATATATATTCAAACCGCTGACCTCTATTTATTTTATCTTTCAGAAATGAACCTCTCGAAGAGCGTCAGCAACATGATGAAGAACCTATATCAGATTATGACGATTCTGATGCAGACCCAAATTATGAGCCGTCAGTATCCCCTAGAAGGAAAAAAATTAAATTTTCGGACTTTGATGACGTATCGCTTGCGCCCCTCAAAAACAGGCAGCCTTTGAAAAAAGTCAACGAGAATGTGAATGCAAACTGCAGAGTTTCCCAAGAAAGGCCAGACAAGCAAGAAAAGCACCCCCTACTGCTATCATGCCATAATAATTGCAGGCAGAAATGTAGCTCAAAAATCAATGATGAGAACTTTAGAGAATTGATAAGAACGAAATTCTGGAGACTCAGCTTTGGCGAGCGTAGACTTTTTTGGATGCTCATATCAAACAATTTGAAATCAAAGTAAGGCGGCAAGAGGCTCAGCGCTCTTCCAGGAATGTTTCTCTGAAATATTTTCTACCCCTTCCAGTGGAAACTGAAGCTAAATTTGAAAAAATACAAGTGTGCAAAATAATGTTTTTGCATACTTTAGGACTTAAAACAGATGGTATGATAACTTGCCATATACATTCCAAAAAGCGAAGTGTAGAAGGAATTGCACAAACAGTGGATGAAAGGGGGTTAGTTATTAGAGGCATGCTAGGAGAACAAAAAATGAGAACAGAGGAAATTGTCATAAAGCATATAAACTCATTCAATCCGGTAGTATCTCACTATAATTTAAAGCACACCCCGAATAGACGATTCTTGCCACCTGACTTGACCATTAAATACATGTGGCAAGACTTCTGTAATCTACAGAAAATTTCATATGATCTATACAGAAGAATTTTTGAAAAACAGAATATTGGGTTTAAAAAGCCATCCCAAGACGAATGCGCTCAGTGTCTAAAACATAAAGTTCACATTATTCGCCAATGCGACGCAAGTAGTTGCAAGATTTGTTGTCAATTCGAAAACCACAAAAAAGTTATACGGAAGCAAGACAGCACTATGAAAATGACTCCAATCAAGAGGTATTGCAAGATGAGAAGGTCTATGCTGTAGATATGCAGAAAGTCTTACTCTTGCCCAAAATGTCAACCAAGGAATCTTTTTTTGTTTCAAGGTACTTCATTTATAATTATATATAATTGTATTAAACTTTTATATACTTCTATATTTGTTGTTGCAGGTTGGTCGTATTCAATGAGACGTTTGCGTCACTTCATAAGGACGGAAATATTTGCGTGATGTGGCATGAGGCTATAAGAGGCAGGTCCGCGACGGATGTTGCATCGGCATACTACAACGTAATAAAAAATTCAGACAATGTTACCAAAAAATTTACATTCTGGGTAGACAACTGTTCTGCTCAGAACAAGAATTGGACACTATATTCTGCTTTTGCGACTTTTGTAAATTGTGAATGGGGTCCAGAAGAGATCACCCTAAAATATTTTGAACCAGGCCATTCATTTATGGCTGCGGATTCGGTTCATGGCCGAATCAGCACAGAAATGAAAAAACACCCAAACATATATGATTTTGAACAGCTTCTGAAAATAATTGAGCAGTCCTCAAAAAAAACTAAATGTTTGCCTATAAATAATTTTGATTTTTTCCTCTTTGAAGATGGAAGCAAACAAAGAAAAAGCAATAATATACCTCTTCTTGAAAAAATTAAGCTCGCTCAGTTTCGCAAAGGATGCAGACACTTGTTTTATAAAGAATGCCATAATGAAACTGTCTTTCAGGAAGTCGAGTTTTTGAAAAAAAAAGTTGATCTCAAATTCCCTATACATCCTTTTGTCGAGCCACTGGGATTGAACTCAGAAAAAAGAGAAACAATTTTAAAAAAATTGGTACCATCCTTCAAAGATGAAAGAAAGAAACTATTTTGGCAGTTTTTGCCATCTAATGATAATTCCAAAGACTTATGTGTGGTATCAGAGGCTTAGCGCTTAAGTTCTTGTTCTTCTTGTATGTAGACTTGCTGTTTTATGTTTCACCGTTTTTCATTCAAATGTTTATTTTCCAGTTAGTAAGTAGATATGTTACTTTTTGTGTTCGCCTTCGCACATAAATTATATCAAATAAAACCTTTGTAAGTACACTTACAATATCTTTTTTTTTTATTTTCTCTAGTCGAAATTTTGTAAAAATCAGTAAGTTGACTTACCATTTTCTGCTAAAGTATCTTAATTTAATATCGAAAAAGAAACCATGAAAAAAAAACGTAAGTCACTTTTCTACCATAAACAAAACTATCACATGAATAAAATTGATGCTATCGAATTTAGCAAGTTACATAACCCTTCAGACAATTTTTTTAATATTCATAAAACTTAAACTTTTCGAAAGCCGAATGTTTATTGAAAATATGTTATTTCTCAAACCTGATAAAAAGTGACTTACTAGGTTCTGCTGTCACACGACAGGCGTACAATCATGGCATCGTCCATGTTGTCTTTAGGTTATTAGAATATTTTGGTGTTGCCTGCAGGTATTATGCAGCAATTTGACAAATGCCTGAAATGAAATACCGACAGAGTGGAATGATTTACCCAGAATTTGTACCAGATCTATATCTTCTGTTTGAACAGTTGATAAAACCTTTTGAACCAATATGCATGCCTTGTTTGTCTTAAAACATTGGTTATGGCATTTTAACAAAAATATGACAGCAGAAAGTTAGGTTATGGTGAAGTTGTTTACATATATACATATTTAGCATATATTTAACAGTTACTAAACAACAGTTGTATAAGTGGTTCCGCTGGGAGCAATTTGTTGGCTAAAGTGGTAAATTGCACAGAAAAACAACAAGGCTTGAGTTTGTTTTATAAACGTTACCGTGGATACCACAACACAACCATTTTGACTAACTTGCAAATATGCCGTATAAAATAGTTTATGCAACAGTTAAAAATTTGCCCTATAAGGTGTTGTATAACTATGCTATAAGAATATTTTATACGCCTCATTTTAGAGCAAATATGTTGCAGAAAGCAAATTTGCATTCCACACAACATTAGGCCAGCATTTTGGTGTTCAGGCAACAACAATAGAGAGCTTTTATGGCTGAATGGTTCTTTTACCAAAAGCTTATACCACCACTTTGCTAGTTGGGACTAATCGTGACCTGCTGCCGAAAGCGATGGCACTCCATACCATAACACCCACAGTGCGATGAATATAAAGCGTGTCTGCGAACTGTAGACAGGATAATGCAATGAAACAACAATGAAAGAAACGGAACCAGTACAGAAGAATATATATTAAGTAAAAATATTCATTTCGTTCAGATCCTGATATGACAAAAAAACCCTTCCAAAATAAAAGTACGGCTCGGATGCCTTCAACATTTTATGGCCGCGATACCAAATATGCTCAAACTCAATCAATAATTCTGGGCATTTTATATGCCGCTTAGTGGCAGGGTGACTTCGAAGTTGAGTCATTTATTTTAACAGTGAGTAGATCTGAAAAGAAATGTTTTTTTTCTTTAACATTTTTGTGGTAAAATTAAAGTAACAAAGTTATAGCCCTTTAGAAGTTTGAGTACCGCCCTGTTTCAATAATAATATTATGTGCTCGTGTTTGGCAACAACGGATATAATCCGCCTTATCGGTTCATCGCATCGGAAACAAAAAAGCGAAAGAATTTGAAACGCTTATCACGATGTTTTTACTACAATTTTATTCAGTTGTATTCAGTTAATGTCTCAGTCGGTCACGCGTGAGTGAATAGTGGTGTTTGTTGCGCGGCTCAAACGAAATAAAAAATGGCACATGCTTACGAAAATGCTAAACTTGTGGACCTGATTCTTATTTACGGGGGGGGGAGTCTTTACAAAATGCTGCCGCGGCATCACGGATTTATGCGGATCGGTTTCCCAATCGAGTGCAACCAACCCCTCGTGCCTTTATTAATGTAGTACAAAGGCCTCGTGAATCAGGTGACATAAGACCACACAGGGAGTGCATGCCGGTGCTCCAAGACCGCACGATCAAATACAGGTCCGCACTGAAATACTTGTCGGGAGGATACTTTATAAAACAAGTTAACATTTTTTTTTTATTTTTTTTTATTTTTACACACATATTTTGGTTTATCTTCCTTCTACAGTCATTATCTGAAAATTAATGACTCAACTTGAAAGTCACCCTGTATATTGTCACATGTCTTCTGTATTTTATATTTCTTGTATTTCATATTTCTTGACATGCTACAAATGCATCTCATATACATATCGTGGTGAAAAACGAAAAAATAGTAGCTTGCATTCGGTGTAGTCCTTCAAGCGCACTTTTAAAAGTGGAAGTCACATTTATACCTCCACTAAAGTTAGTACTGACAGCTTTGGCCTAATTCACATCCACTGCCTTCCATGTACGCCAATGGTGTTCACCCTAAGCATAGATCCAAGTTACAACATCCGGTTGTTGGAATGGATAACAGTTCCTCTGGTTTATTATTAAACAAAAGCCAGTGTTTGGGTCCCAGGGCGAATGAGCGCTCAAATTCCACTTTGGACTGCCGGTCTTGCAGAAATAATTGTGGTAATAAAATTACACATACGTCCGACTGACTAGCCACCGGTAGTGATTAACTTTGGAATGGAATTGAGTTCGTCGCCAGCAAAGAACTACCTTGGTCCCTAATTGGACTAACCGATGTAATCACAGTTTAACTCTAGCGGTTTGTTGGAGTTTTGAAATTGCGCCTTAACGATATCGTATTGACTCTGCAGAATGCCGCTCTTTGTTGGCATTTCTGTCAAACTTCGCCTTGATAGCGACCAGGCAAACATACTGGATTTGTCAGTGAGAGAGGGGGATACTTTTGTTGCGGTTAAAGGCCACTGCGTTGATTATAGGTAACTAATGGTTGATGGGTATGGGCGTCTTATAACCGAGATACAGATTGTTTTACCGATTCACTGGACAACAAATTTTAGTTTTTTAATTGTATCTTGTGGGAAAAGTGCACCTCTTTGTTAATTTTGGGGCGCTGAATCCAAAAATGACAATGAAATAAAAAAAGTAGTTGCGGCTTAGAAAAAAAACTTTTTATTTTTAAGGATATATTAAAAAAAGTAACAAGATTCATATACTTATAAGAATCACTATATGCGCTGTCTTTTTGCTGTTCTTTTATGGATCGTTTCTGGAGCACCTCTACCAAGAGTCCAACAGTAGTCTGCAAGCATGGAAGGATTCCACTTTCCCTGGTACCTTTTTTCCATTGTTGAAATATCCTGATGAAAACGTTCGCCGTGCTCATCACTTACGGCTCCGCAATTGTCAGGAAAAAAGTCCAGATGTGAGTGTAGGAAATGTATCTTAAGAGACATATTACAGCCCATCTTTTGATACGATGACAGCATATTTTTGACAAGGGTTTTATAGTTGTCAGCTTTTCTATTTCCCAAGAAATTAGTGACCACCAGACGGAAATCATTCCAAGCAGATTTTTCAATACCTGTTAAAGTGTTTTCAAACTGTGTATGTTTCAAAATATTTCGAATCTGTGGCCCAACAAAAATACCTTCTTTAACCTTTGCCTCACTTAGTCTTGGAAATTTCTGACGCAGGTATTGAAAAGCTGACCCATCTCTATCTAATGCCTTGACAAAGTTTTTCATTAGGCCCAACTTGATATGCAGTGGTGGTAATAATTTTTTTTTCGAATCTACTAATGGCATATGCTGTAAATTTTTTTGACCTGGCTCTAGGAATTGACGAACAGGCCAGTTTTGTCTGGTGTAATCTGTCCCATTCACACAAAAAACAGCAAAACTTTGTGTAGCCTAGCTGCTGCCCAAGTAAAAGTGCAACAACTTTCAAATCGCCACAAATATGCCATTGGTGCTCATCGTATTTTATGCATGTCAATAGGTACTTCATATTGTCATATGATTCTTTCATGTGAACTGCATACCCTACAGGAAGAGATGGTAAAATATTTCCAATATGCAATAACACTGCCTTTAAACTCAATGTTGTACTGTCTATAAACAATCTCCATTCTTCTTAGTTATAGTTTATATTTAAAGCCGCCAGTAGGCCGTTAATGTTACTGCAGAAAACCAAGTTATTCTCCATATTGAAAAATGGTTCTAAGTCTTTGTGGCGTTTACGAAAAACACATACCGAAACATAGTCTTCTAACAAGTTCCACTGCTGCAGTCTTGATCCAAGTAACTCTGCCTTACATTTTGGAAGTTCTAAATCTCTTACAAGATCATTTAATTCTGACTGTGTTATTTTGTGCGGTTGGTGGCATGACGTGCTCGGTATAAAATCAGGATCTCTTGACGTTGATGGCATATCTTCTTCCTGACGAATCACTCGATCGCCATGATCTGATTCGTTTTCTGATTCGCAAGTGTAGGATTCTGGGTGTTTTGGAATAGGATTTTCGTCACTGTGGGGCACAGGTCTCATCGCAGATGGTATGTTTGGGTAGTTAATAACCGATTTTTTTTTCTTGGACATACCTGTGGCTTGTCCAACACAAGGTACCATGCAAAAGTAACAATCTTTAATATGATTTGTAGGCTCTCTCCAAACCATTGGGACAGCAAAGCGCATAGACCGTTTTTTGCCATTTAACCAGCTCCTCAGACTTGAAGCACATGTATTACAGCAGATGTGGAGTGCCCACTGTTTATCTTGATCACCTAGTTTACAACCGAAATAAAGCTGATATGCCTTTGTTATTAGTGGAGTAATAGACCGTCTCTGAGACGCAAAAGTCACATCACCACACACGTAACAAAACTGATCTAGATTGTTTACACGCTTTCGAGACATATTGCATGAACGCTGTCAGCCAACTGAGGAAAAAATGGCTAATATAAAACAATATAATGTACACGTATGTATAACGTAACACAATCATGCCGGTTACATCATCTTTCCTTGCCGAATATAAAAATGTAGCACGTGCATT